GACAAAATATGACATACTTTTAATAAAGTTAGAGGAGTCAAATATCACCTCGTAATGGGAAGGCTACTTTTTGATAAAATTTTGGATAATTGTTTAGAAGGTGCTCCTAAAATTTTGAACGTGCTCCTACATTTTTTAAGTTTAAAAAGAAAAGTAAGCGTAGAGCCCTGATATATATATATTATTTCATTTCAATTTAGTTTGTTGAAGTATTAAAATAACTCAAATTAAATAAAACTTAAAAGCCTTTGCCGGTGTCCCTGCCCGGTGGAGTCGCACGGTAGAGTCGATGGTCTTTACACTCTTCGGTCTTCACACGAGGCCTTCATGCAATGGCTGCTGTGACCGCTGTCGCGGTAAACTAAGCTTTTTTATACCCGTCTAACAAAATACTACATTAATTCAGCTGGACACACTTTCCTTATTTTCTCCGCAACAAATGGCCAAGCAAGCGCAGACACTGACAAAATACGCGATACCGAACGAGACCCAACGCGATATCAGCAGGTCTCCACACAGTAAACAAAACAAGTATTTCCTAGCAACGACAACTGCACTAAAGACTAATGAGACAAGTAAATACTTACGAGCTGCTTTTAACTTCCGCTGATAAAGACTGCTTCTCTCAAAGAGTATTTCTTTACACTGTTTTCTGCTGGCGCTTGAACAAACTTTCCTTATTTTCTCCACAACAAATGGCCAAGCAAGCGCAGACACTGACAAGATACGCGATACAGAACCAGACCAAACACGATATCAGCACGTCTCCACGCAGTAAACAAAACAAGCATATTCATCAGTTACAGATGAATAGTAATACAGAGTGAGACAGTTACAGTAAACATTTCCGATTTACTTAGCTAGGCTAAATGGCAGAGCTGGTGTTACAATCTTAGAAACACAAAAAAGTAAATACAAGTGCAATTTTGAAAACCAAGCAAAAACTATTTACAAAATTTTCATACTGACTCAGATAATACATGCTGGGCAATAATATTCTTTATTCACTGGTGGGTTGCCAACACTGTCACATGTGGTACCACCTGTCACATCCATCACATCCATCACAGGTAATCTGAAAGATCATACAATATGTTAAATAACCTAATAATAATTGTCTCAAAATTAGATTAAAATAATATGTAACAACTGCCAATTTTGCAAGGACCAAACATAAGATAATACTAGGTTTAATTTAAACAATAAAATAAAAAGTCCTCAAACCAAGCAGGTGTTACGTCTGAATCACTTGGGTCGTTGCGTAGTCCACAAAAATAACAGAGATCATTTAAATCTTCTATAAAAGAGTATATAAACAACATTTATTGTCACATTTATTAATTAAGTCACAGTAATATAACAAACTAAATCCTCTTAAACAAGTTTTTTTAAATGAATTTAAAAATAATAATAATTGCAATTATTTTTTTTAAATCCTTTAATTCATGTCGCCTACTTAAATGACAAATTAATACTTCTTCCCCCAGGCCATCAGGCTCCTAAACTCAAACTCAGTCTCTTAACACCAACATGACTTCACTTAATTATCATTAAGACACTTAATATACTGACATTGCCACTTGCACACAGCAATTTATGTAATAATTTATTTATTTACGTTTTTACCTCTATTGCTGCTATGTAACTACCCTGTACAACCTGTTTGCACATTCTTTTCTTGTACATTCCTGCTCATCTTAATATTTATTAAGTCTATGGTATACTGTCCTGTGCATTTAAAAAAATATATATTTTTCCATACCTATATTTATATATATTTTCTTGTGTTTGCATTCTTTAATAATTGCACTGTCCATGGAGCGGACTTGACTTACATTTCACTGCTGA